AAAAAAATGAAAATAAAAGTTAAGAGATATAAACCAAATAGATTATACACATAGCAATAATAACAATAAAAAAGTGCTTATTCGACTTATTTTGTTGAAGTTCTTGTTAAACAGAGTTCTTTTAAAAGTGTTAAATTATAATAGATTTATATACTCAATAAATTATAATTTAGTTGTTAAGGGAATTTATTTTTTATTTTATTGACTAAAGTTTATTTTTTAAGAAAGTTAATAAAAAATAATTTGTCATAAATTTTGTAGTTTAGATGTTAATGACATATCGCTGATTAAATCATGAAATAATTAATTTTGAAAAACGCATAAATTAATCAAATAACACTATGACCATTAAATCAATAAATAATAATAGTAATAATAAAATAAAGGAATTGCAAATTTTCAAGTTGTAGTGTAAGAAAAAAAGCACACCAAAGTCAAATTGTGATATCCCGAATCTCTTAAGAAGAAAGTTGTGTTTAGGATATAAATAATTAGTTATTACTAACCATTTAAATTTTGAAGACTCCTAAATCTTAATCTAAAAAATTATTAAAATAATAGAGAGATTCGGTTCAAGTTATTTTGTGTTGAATGTACACCTAAAAGCACTTTTCTAATAAGCTAATGGTAACAAAAATTTTATAATTAATAAAATGATCAAATTCATAAACTTTATACCCAAACATTTATTCTAAAAGCAATAGCTAGGTTTAGAGCTTAAGCTAAAAACAACTTCGTAAAATACAAATAAAATCAGAAAATTTTTCAAGAAATTTGTGTTTAACACAGCTTTAACTACACAACTTCTCATAAGCTTTTTTTTTTTTTTTTTTTTTTTTTTTTTTTTTTTGCCATATTGCTTGTTCACAATAAATAATAAATATCTTTAGTTCCCAAATAGATAAATAAAAAAAAGAAAAAAAAAAGTGTGTGCATTCTTTGATTGCCAAAAAAACCAAAAAACTTATGGGATTCCTTGCCCAATAGGCTTTTTTTGCTTTTACATGCTAAAGCTATATGCTATAACAACTGAATTATACAATTAATTACAATATGACACGATTAAAAAAATCAGTTCAGATTAATTTTAGCAGGAAGACGTACACCAGGAGCTTCCTCTTCCACAGAAATACCATAACAAGCAACCAGTTTCAGAACACTCTGGGGAGTCAGCTGGTACTTCTTCCGAGCTTCAACTACGGTTCGACATAGAACCTTTTCAATCCATTCCTCCAATGATTTCCTTGTATCAGATAACCAGGCTGCACCAAGTATCTGCACCATCACTTCTTCATCAATCTCCAACACAACCTCAAGGTTTTGTAATTGTGAGCTGACATCCTTTACTATTTTATCTGCAAGTGCATCAAAATCAAAAGGCTTGAAAACTATCTTTTGATGTACTTGATCAAAGAATTCTTCCAACCAAGCTTCTGTGTTCTCAGAGATGGAGTCGCTATCATAGTCTGTGGAATTGATATCCTCTTCTGTCTCCTCTACAGGAAGATTCAAATCCAGAGGGGATCTCAATGCTTTGTGTGCCCTCTGAGATTTGTTTGATTTGTCCTGCTCTGTAGAGTCACTGACATCAATGAGCTTCCGTTTTACAGATGCAGCATTCAAGGTTTCCTTTCCTCTTGTGACTCTAACACTGATGTCGGTGCCTCTCCTGGTATCCTCAGAACCACAAGCAACAAGTATCTGCATTTGCCATCTTTTTGCTCCTAGTATTCTTTCCTCAGAAAATACAATGGACTTCTTCTCCCAAACAACATCACTATTACCTTTCGCGACACTTGATGTTGTTATAAAAACCGGATTTTTTATGCTAATTTCTCTCCCATGCGAGTTTAGAAATTTCCCTGTTCTAATGCCCTGGGACAAACTCTTCTGGACGAGACAATCTGCCTTGTCCACATTTTCAAGGAAGATAATTGCATAGGGTTTTCTGCTTAACTCTGCCGCAATACAGTCTGCAATTGTTTTCCCTCTAAACTCCATGTCATAACCATTTAACTCTTCACACTCGAACATTGCATTTGATTGACTGGCCTTGCATCCAGAGCTCAAATTTACAGAGATTAAGTGTTCCCGGCTGCCATATAGAATCTCAGCAACAGTTGAAGCAATTCTTCTCTTTCCAACTCTGTCAGGTCCCAGGAAAGTAAGCCAGATAGCTCCTGCAGCGTTTGAGCAATAATGCTTTCCATCACCAGTTATACATTGAGATACAGCTTTACTAACAGCACGTATGACTTCATCTTGCCAGTGAACTTTTTCAGCAAGAGCAGTCACAATGGACTTGTAATCTCTAGGATAATAACGCTCCACTGAAGTTAGACCAGAGCATGAAGAAGATTGGGCAAATTGGTGTGAAGAGTTATCACTATTTGCATCAAACTCAGCAGATATGGAACCTGATACGCGCCGAAGTAGCTCTTCATGATCTTGCAACTTAGTAGTCCTTGGCTCTTGACTGGTTGATGCATGGTGTGTGCCTAACTTCAAATCTGTGGTGACAGAGGGGCCAGACAAAGCAGATGTAAGATCAGAAGGTGGGCTTAGAATAGGATGAGGGTGATGTCCTAACCAGGGGCCTTCTTTACCTATCAGCTGAGGCTTTGGTGCTTTAACCACCATCCTGGACTGAAAATTAACATTATGAGTTTCAGAAGCCATTGGTATTTGTGCATTATATTTTGGTGGTAGACTCTCCTGCAAATTCAATGGCACACCAGGAACTATATTTGCAAATTGACTTCCATCTACGATTTTATCTTCAGCATCGTTCTGTTTCTCATCGACGACATGCCTAAAACACTCAGCAATTGGGACCTGAACCTGGGGAATATCTAAACTAGGGAATGGTTGACTCTGATGAAGACGCTGGCAAATGTCATTCCATTTCCTCTGCAGCCCCAATACCTTAGCATTTGCCATTGCTCTATCATCTTCGGTCTGCACTGAATGATAAAGCAATGTCCTTACACAAATTATCATTTAATCAACAACACAATACAGAAAATATCTCATCAAAAAAACAAAACACAGAAAATATCAATGCAAATTATGGGTATAAAGATGGTGGTGTGTGCACGTGTGTATATTGAGCTGAGTCAAAACTTCAAAACATAATGGCACAACACACCTTTGCTTCATCCACTCCCTTATTTTTGTCAAGTGCTGTCATCCGCAACCAAGTTGGCAAGTTTTCTGAGTGCTGATCAGCAACTGAAACAGTTGATCCTTCCTTTAGAATGGAAGCAACTTCTTGCTCACACTTCTCATTACAAAGACAACAACGAGGCATGGATTGGTTTTTGCTGCTTAATGGATTTTTGAAGTCAGTTGCAGTAAAGAAGCCACCAAATGGAACAAAAGACCCCATCAAGCTGTAAGTATATCATGAGCATGTAACTGTGAGATACATGGGTGAAAATCTGTCAGGAGCTAAAGTGCACGCATAGCTATATACACATCAAAACAAATAATTTACGACAAAATGACCTATATGAAAAAATATAGCAAACAAAATATACCAGAGATAAGAACCAAAGTTTGGATGGAAACATGCAATAGCTACTAATTGTCAAATAAAAATAATGAAAGTCAGACGCCATCCCTTGCCATCTGCCTGCCTCATAAACAATAGTTATAGATCCATAGGCATCAAATATGTGTGTCACCTTAAACTTCATAATGCTTGGAATTTTAAGGATAAAGCAATCAAGAAGGTGACCTGAAAAAACTTAGAAACATATCCATATCCAATTGAGCAATCAATAAAGAAAACCACAAGGATTCTGACAAAAACACTTTTGCAAGGAGATTACAGAATTAAATACTGCTTCCGTTTCTCCGGGTCATATACACATGTACATTCAAAAGCTCATAAAAATTAAGCAGAGAGCTTTCACGTGTGCTCCAAACATTCATTTTTTGTATCCCTTTATTGTATCAAGTATTATATTTAGATAGGACAAAGACAAAGGATAGAACAAGAGGGCATTAAACTTTTTCAAGTACAATGTTGTCATATTTTATTTAGAAACATATATGGTCAGAACGCAGAATCAAAACCGTATTGCAAAAAAATATAAAAATAAAAAATAAAATAAATAAATGTTTACAATTTGATTAAAGAAAAACAGAAATCATGCAGAGGCACTAAAAGTAGAAGCAACTGGAAAAGAAAAATGAGAAGGCAAATATATGAAAACATTTGCAAAAGAAATCTTCACTCTTCAACTATGCTAGACGCCTACACTAACAAATTGACATATTAAGGATCCTGTAATCAACTATAGATAGTTCGATTTTCAGCCATGCACATAGAGAACTTGTGGTTAAGATTCCATGCATCTGCAAAGAGCACAAGACATTTAAACTTGTGTACAAATCTGGGCAATTACCCACCTGGATTTGGAGTAAGCCCTTTCAGATGAACTTTTTGAGGTAGTGATGGGCAATAGATGCAAATCCCAGTCCTTCTCTACACTTGGAAACCTAGCCAAGAAATTTGAATACATTTCATAAGTCCCAGCAGCCCCCATCAACCACAATTTTCCCCTATTCATCTCCAGCAATACTGTCAATTTCGACACCAAAGAACTCACGGCATCAGTGGAAACGTCATCATCAATCAAACATTTCAAGTCCCCAAAGTTGAGAACAACACCAACCCCACTACAGTGCTCCAGCTCCTTAAATTTTAAGCCTATCCTCTCTTCACTCCCTCCAACAACATACTCACTCACATCCTTTTCAATGGAAACCACATTTAACCCGGACAAATCCTCAGGCAAAAAACCTGTTTTCCCTCTCTGTATACTCTCACAGAAGCTCCTCAAAGCATCTTTAGCATAAACCCCTACAAGCAATGGGTTTTTTCCGCCCTTTCTAATCATTACTTCACCAATTCTTCTACAATTCTCGTCGATATCATCTACAGGGTCAGAAAACGGGAAGGCGAACCCGAGCCGACCTGGACTAAGAGAGGGATCCGTATCAGTCAAGTTGCACAGGAAAATGGGCGGACGCCGTGCCAGAGGAAACCGGGGGGAAACCTGCGTCATCGGCGGTTGAAGTAAAGCTAGCTTGATGTCGCAGCTCCGAAAACCAGCTTCACCGAATACCCGACTCACAATCGGATCGTCGAGAATAGACAAGATAAAGTATTTAAGCTCCACCTTCAAAAGCGCCGCCGTGGGGTTATTGCTATTATTGCTATTGTGCAGCTGCTGAAAGTGATAGTTATCAGGATGCCGCCTCTGATTAGCTTGGGACCGTTTGATTGCCGCCATCAAGGAGTTCGAGATCGGCGGGTCCTCAATAGCTTTCGACGACGGCAACCGGTCGAGCGAGACTCCAACGCAGAGGTCGAGCGCGCGAAACTGTAGGCGTGAAGGATAGCCAGATCCCCGGGCACGTGCACACGCGTCACGGAGCGTGGAAGACGGCAAAGCCAGAAGGGCAGATACAGCATGAAGGGAGCTGGTCTGCGCGTGGCTACGGCGACGCGCCACCGCCACCGCCTCATCGAGCGCACGCGCAGCCTCATCGGTAAGGCATTGCCTGGCAACGCTCACCGGCGTCGGCATCGCCGGCCAGCAAACACAAACCGCAAATGGGTATATAAAAAATACTTGCTTTGCTATAAAAAAAAGGTAAAAATTTTGTGGGTATTAGGAAGTATGGTTTGTCTGCTAGCTTTGGTGAAAGGGGGGGAAGAAAGAGTTTATGCTAATAAAAAATTTAGCAGGGCGTTTACTTCAACAACTTTTCGAATTATTTATTGGGGGAGGAGTGAAGATGGAGAAGGGGGAAGAAGGGGACTGCAGAGGGGAATTGTTGGCGTTTTGTGTGGTGGGGTCGTGTCACTGAGGAGAAAGAACAAACACTTGGTGAGCATAGATTCTCAAACGCTCAAAAGAAAGATCTCCATAGCCTCTGTGGTTTTCATGCTTTATTTTTGTGAAATCTTGGGGAAAAAAAATTTTAAAGCAAAAATCTTGCCTAAATTCTCCACCACATGCATGAATCCTCCCATCACCATCATGGAAAAAGGTCCAACATTTACTAATCAAGCTTTTGGGTAGATAGACCCCCACTTCCTGCAATTATCCTTTTTAATACTTGTAAAGATTTTTTTTTTTTTTTTAGCTTTTGCTTTGTTTTTGTTAATGGTCAACCCCAAATATTTTAATTAAGAAAAGTTTTTTTTTTTTTTTTTTTTTTTTTTTTTGAGGAAAGAAAGTTTTATGCTTATTTATATATAGAAAAAAGTGTTCATAATTGTTTAAATTGAATTAAATTTTAAATTATTAAATATTAAATTAAATGAAGGTTTTTTTTATCAAATAATCATTTTAAAATTACAAATTAATAGCCTCTATTTATATATAAATATATGTGAGCTTTAAACTTTTAGTAGTTTTTTTCATAGGAAAAAAAAAGGGGGAACTCTACGGTGATTGAAAATTATCCTTCTCATGGAAACTCAATTGTGATGCATAACCGTATAAATAATATATAAATTCTTAAAATAATCTCATGTGACAAGCCTTTTAGAAATCTCTATAAAAAGTGCAAATACAAAGCTAAGTAACAGGTGATGGTATTGGTACCTAAGAAAGTTTTAAGTAGTTTAGGGTTATCCGTTTCTTATAAAAGATTTTTTATAAAGGATTTTTCATGATAATACTTAAAGAAGGATTTTTCGTGATAATATTTAAATGTGTGATGTTTGAATCTTATCTCTAATATTTTTAAAAAAAAATTGACGGTTCCTTGGTTTTTTTTAACATATTATAAATTGGGGGTAGAGAGAATCAAATGCAATTAAAGGATTGGAGATGCACCTATCAAGGTGACGAAACTACTAGACCAAGAGGATAGGTGCGATGGTACCTTAATTTTGAGAAATCTAAGTCATGAAAATAAAATGTAAAATCATTAGTCCATACTCACTTTGATATATATTTTGATATTTTAATTCAATTATTAAAAATAGAATATAAGTATATTAAATTTATTTAATTTTTATATTATATATATGATTATATTTTATATATATGATTATATTTTAAAGTTTATTTATCTTTAATTTCAAGAAAGAAAATAGTGATTTTTTATGAATATATTATATAATGTGTTGAATTGAAATATATATCAATTAATATTTAAATAAAATTAGTTAGTACTATAAAAATATTTTTAATAGGTAAGATTACACATTCTTTTTTTTATTTTAAACTGTATAATGAAAAGTAATTTTCTCTTATCATTTAATGTACTCTACTTGTATATTATACGATTTGAATTTAAAAATTTATACTTTTATTAAAAAAATTATCACTAAATTATTTAAGTTGTTCGTAAAAATATGCATTCTTTATGATATGAATTGTGTCTAATTCCAAAATATAAAATTAAATCCATCCATAACTTCACTTTCCACTCATTTTCATTTAATAAATCACCTTTTACAAATTAATATAGTCCAAACTTTAAACTTTAAAGCATATTTTTGAATAGATAATACTAATAATTTGATATTACATAGTAGAATTCATTTTCCTAAGTTAATTAGAATTGGGTTTATACTTTTATATATTGAAATTGAAATTTATTAATTTCCCTACAAATTAGAATGAAAAGAAAAATCAAATTAGTAAGAAATTTGAGAAGTTTCGCATCTAAATTGTTTTTCTTTTAACAAGCACAATTTAGGATTAGAAAAAATTAAAATATAATAATTTTATAATTTCAATTTTTTTTATCTTGATTATACAATAAAATATAATTAACTCTTAATTTTTATCTTATTTTACTCATATATTATATGATTTAAAATTAAAATTTTATTTTTAACAAAAAAAATTATTATTAAATTATTTACATCCTCGATTATAATTTTAATTTTAGGAAAAAAAAAAAAAGAAGCAAAAAAAGAAGACATTGAGAGAACCTAGGCAGTGGGAACGAGGCCTGGTGTGCAAACTCGTGTCTTAAATTGGAGTTGGAATAGGTTAAGGAAACCTGCCAGCACAGCAATGGCGTTGCTTTCCAAAATGAAGGCTACCCGACAGTTGGCAGTTGATGGAGCCCTGTGGGGTCTCCATTGCTGCATGATTGGACACATGGGGTTGCCCACTTAAGAACCATTGAGCTTCGGACGGATGCGTGGTGCACTCTATTTGCGACCGCACCTAAGTAAACCCCTTGTAGGTATCCCCAACAAAACGGACCAAGTGGCATCTGAGGACCCCAAATCATCTCTCCTCGTCCCAGTGGAAAAAGGCCATTAATTTGACGTTGTTTTTGTTCATACTTGTTTTTTGTTTTTTTGTTTTTTGTTTTTTTTTCAACTATTTAAGTAAGTTAATAGTAATTTTTTTATTAAAAATAAAAAATTTTGAGTTTAAATTATATAATATACAAATAAAATATAATAAAAAATATGAAAGAGTTATATCATGTTGTATAATTAACATTAAATTTTTTTATATTATAATAATTATACCTAAGAAAACGAAAGAAAATTAAAATGTCTTATCATTAAAAGTGTTAAGGTTTTTAATAATGATTAGATAATAAATTTAATAAAATTAAAATTTATATCATATTTTATATATTATATAATTATTATTAGATGTTTTGATATTTTTAATATCAAAAAATTTTATCTATTCCTTATGTTTAATTAAAAATATTTATAAAAAAAAAGTGGAGTCTAAATTAATTGATTATATTATATTAGTTATTAGTTAAAAAAATTTATTAATAATAAAATTAAAATTTATATCATATTTTATATATTATATAATTATTATTAGATGTTTTGATATTTTTAATATCAAAAAAATTTTATCT